TGCTTATTATAGCCCAGATTTACTAATGTTTCTTTTTAGACATTCGTGCAACTTGTACGTACACATAGCAAACGATTTGATTTACCTTCATATAAAATGTGTTTCAGAACATCCTTACCATCATCGACAACACTCCTGGCCCGAATAGTATAGCACCTTTGAAACATAGGATCGGTCTGGTACGCTTCTCTACCTGGGCACAGCTCATCTTCGCCCTGGGGACTCACCCGTTCTACCCACAGAATGCTGCGGCTATTGCCGCCGTGCCGAAAGGGTCGGGTAGGGTCAAAGCATTCAAAACAAAATTTACCTCATAATATTTAATATACTGTGAACTTGTCACAAACACACACACACGCACACACACACACACACACACACACATTCGCTCAGGCACGCCTATGTTAGATAAGACTGGCACCCACGCCCTTGCATTGATTTCATATATATATACATACCTAGGGATGTTATATGACCGTGGCGATATGATGCTCACTGAAGCCTGGCCAATTAGCCAAGCTTCAGTGAAGATCAAGGGCAACCTCGAGCCGCTACCAAAAATGTCTCGCTTCACTCGACATTTCTGCTTAGCGTCTCTCGGAAAACTCGGATTTAACCTCGATTTAGTCTAGAATTTCACGACTACATCTTGGTTAAATCAGTTGATTAAGTACCTTTCAGGCCAGTTGAACGTCCACGACAAGTATTTAGCAAAAATTGACCAAATTGGTCAGACATTACGTAAGAATTTGGCGGGAGATGACTAACGCACGTGGACGAGTTTTTTTCGTATAACATCTCTAGAGCGTGATATAGGGTCACTTTATTCGGGTTTAGGGGTGTTTTAAGAAATGACTGTTTTTTTTTCTCGGTATGCATGTCAAATAATACACTGTCACCCTCTCGCGATATATGCCATGAACACCTCTCGCTGACGCGAGACGCGAGAGGTGTTATGGCATATATCGCGAGAGGGTGACAGTGTATTATCTCACACATAAATGTGTACAGGTATATCAGGCACACGCACACAGACTGAAACACAAACAGTGTTATGTAAAATTCGACTTCTTTATCAATTTATCAAATAATTGTGCAGAATCATTGAGGAGATTATATCCAATCTTTATACTTGGCTGTCTTTTAGACACAGTAAAAACAAGTTCACATTATTTACAGGTGGTCTGACGAATGTAAATCATGCTTTGGCGTTGTGTAGTATTCAGCTCGGTGCCTCTGGAAAACGCCTAGTCTGGATAATGACTGATGGGGGCTATAATTATGGGGGTGACCCGAGGCCCAGGGCAAATGTTATGAAAAGGAAAGGTAATTTTAAAACTAGACATCAAGGATATAGGCTGTCTACCTTAAACAAATGCTGTCATTATAAACATTTAAGATCGGGAAAACTGGGACAAGGGCCTTTATTTTTATCATTATTCTGAATGCATTTTGTTCTTTATTATTTTTTCTGCTGCATGAATACACGTCTTCGTCATTATTTCAGGAATAATAATTTGCGTCGTGGCTGTTGGTGACAATGTCAACTGGACTGTGATCAGCGACATTGCCTCTTGGGTGTATATCCCGAGCACCCGTCGTTGGGTGAAATGCGTTATGAGGTACCACACCTGTGCGGCCTATTATCGTGCGTCACTGATATATTATCCTACACTGCCACGGGTGAATCAAACAACAGTAATTCCCGTTACAAAGGCTGCTCCCTAAATATGCAGACAGGAGTCCAGCTGCAAATGTTTGTTTCCGTTAATTCCTACGATATTTGGAACTGAGTATCACAAGCTGTGAATGTATTAATTATGACTTTACTGACAAATTTATGTTTTCAGAGTTGAACATAGAAAAAAAAGTTCAATTTCTGTTACTTTTCAATTTGAGACCATAAGCAATAAATCAAGAAATTTGCACATGTATAACTTCTTTATATCCCTAATGTAATTTACTATACATCAGCACACACCGAGCGATTTGAATAAAACAATGCGATAGCTTAAACCTGGTTTTCGGTTTTAAATATATTATTACTGTACTCAAACTACCAGTGAATTTATTTTATTATCCGAAATTTTAAGTTGGGGTTTACCTTCAGTGGTAATGTCGTTATTCGTTTAATTGTATGCTATGGAAAACCTGTATTGTAATTTATGAATTTTAACTTGAATTTGAATTGAAGCGAGTTCCTTTCATAAAATTAATTCACAAGCATGATCAAAACTTTGTGTTTTATTTTATTTGTGAGCATATCTGTCAGTGCTTTATTGCAGTCGTCACGTGACAGTCGGCAACGAATCGCCGCCAGGGCCCGGTTCCACACAAGGCGATTCCGTGCCGACTGTCACGTGGCGGCTGCAATACCACCAGTCGTGTCCCCTGCAGTGACAGTTCCATGATGATGTCCTTTTGATAAAGGTCGAAACGTCGGAGTATCTGCAAAAACGTCCACCGGATCTACGTGATTGTACAATATTAGAGTTAATTTATTTGCCTTTAATTACCAGTGATATTTTAATGAAAGATTTAAGATTTAAGCGTCCTTTTATTTAGAATGTGTCGAAATTGTGTGATTAAAACGGTTTTTAAATTTTGTGTTAACGTTTACAAGTTGTCCCGTCCATTACCTTCCTGTAAAGAGCGTCATTACCCGTATTTTTCTTCCACGAACGTCTCAAATGTCTTTCAATTGAATCAGTTTACATTGCAAAAGGAATCGTGCATGTATCGTATCACGCAATTCTGAATAGTCTGTGTAGGTAATTTGAGTAAGTTATCGTAAGTAATCTGTCTCTGTAATACCTTTAAAAGTAAAGAATTCAACTGCAATTCAAATAGCATACTTTATTTACTTTCCATGTATCTATGGAGCAGGTGTCAATAGAAGAGATGTTTACTTCAGCAACATGCCTAAGTTATAAAGGAATGCGTAATAATTATCTTGTATTCCCCGCTTCAATGTCGTTATCAAGGTTTAAGTAAGCCATGGAATCACGTATTTGCACTAAAAAAAGGAATGTGTGAAAATAACATTCAGAGTGAGGTAAGCCGATTGGTTGACCCATAGACGGAAATAAATTATAATGAATGCAACCTGTGTGAGTGAGTGCAGGTTGCTTTTTTTTTATAAGTATTTGTTTGTACGTCTGTCTCTCTGCCAAAAATTCGAGGTAGCTTCTCCTCTATCGTCATCACGTCCACCAAGTTCCTGCCGTCGTGAAAGATGAAGTTAGCCGCGCTGGTTCTGCTGGTTGCTGTTGGAATCGCCTTCAATGAGCTGGGCTCTGAGGCTCTCACACCTCACCAAGTTATTCAAGCTCTGATGGGCGGTGCTCCTCCTTACTGGAATGTGGTGTTTGCTTTGGACAGCAGCGACAGCATAAGCAGCTCTGAATGGTCTTGCTCCAAGTCATCGACCAGGGTAGGATAAACTGGCTCCACTATAATAAACAATTTAGCTTGTAGTTTGCTGGGGAATTTGAGAGCACATATTTCTGTATCTTTATAATTATAATCACTAACATTAAATAAGAAAACAAATCTGTTTTGAATAACCATGTTAGATAGATAGATATATATATATAGATATATTGATTGCTAGATATATAGACAGTACAAAAACAACGATACCTATACGTGTTTTTTTTTCTTTTTTTTTTTTTTTGACACATTTGTGCAACGCAAAGCAAAACATTTGATTTATCTTTAAATAAGTCTTGCTTCAGAATATCCTTGCAATTATCAACAACACCCCTACTCCGAATAGCATAGCCCCTGGAAAACATTGGATCGCTCTGGTACGTTTCTCTACCAGGGCAAGGCTCATCTTTCCTCTGGGTTACCATGAAAACTACCCTGCCAATGATGCGGCTATTGATGATGTGCCGAAAGAAGGTAGGGCCCACTATTGTGCAAATATCGTTGTAGGTCATGATATGCACGCACTCATACAGTATACACGCAAGTGCACAGACACACGCGCGTTCATGGGTGAGGGGCATATCTCGAAAGAGGGCTTTATTTAAGAGATTTAGTGGCCCTTTTATACACAGACCTAACTTATAAATCATTTGTAAGACCAAAGACTGCTGGACAAAATTGCCATGATGTGGAAATGACAAATGTTTACTTGGATATATGTAACCATAGAAACGCACAGAATCCAAGATGACCGTCGTGGTTTCTGCAATATTTTTACTTAACAAGATACAAATAATTGATCATCGTATCTAGTTCGATCGATAAGTATGACCTTTTCATCTTTTGGAGAGGGAATTAAATGTGAGCTACAAAATCCAACATTAGTTGTTCCAAAAAAGTGAAGCAGAAAGATTAAAACAGCTTCACCTCATTTACAGGTGGTCTGACGAATATATACCATGCCTTGTGGCATTGTAACATTCAACTTGGTGACATCTCTGGCAATCGCCTAGTCTGGATAATGACTGATGGGTACTATACTTATGGGGATGACCCAAGACCCTTGGCCACGCTTTTGAAAAAGAAAGGTGCGTACTACCGCTACTCCAAAGGCAGAGTGTCTATTGGCTAAAACGAATGCTGTCGGTTAACATTAACCCATTAAAAGATTCGAGGAAGCCGGGTGGCCAGTAATTTATGTACTTTAATTGATTTTATTCTGCACGTTTTCCCGTATGTATATACTATAAACACTTGTTTTTCCCAACTTCAGGAATTATCATATGTATCGTTGCTATTGGTGACAATGTTGACTGGAGTGTAATCAACGCCATGGCCTCGTGGGTGTACATTCCGAACATCGGTCGCACTGTGCAATGCGTTATGAGGTACCAAACCTGTACGGCCTACTTACTTGCCTCGTATCCTTTGTTGATACGGGTACCATAGCCAGGACTTCCCATCGCCCAGTCTGTTACCTAAATCTGTAGACAGGAGTAAAGTTGCAAATTTGGTAGCTTATTTCTGATCACTCTCTATGGCAACTGACGTATCGCATGCTGTGGATATATTTCGACTTACTTTACCGTTGAACACTTGAATTCACAGACAAATCTAGATATTCCAATGGTGATGATTCATTTATAATCCTTTTTTGCGTAGGACATTTCGATAGGTCGTTTCTTTAAGGAGTTGGTTTTAAGACCTTTAGTGGCATATCTATATATTTGCAAACTTATGTTTTTTTTAATATATATTTAATGTAATTTGATGTACCCCGGTACACATTGTAATGTAATGTACACATTTTACAATTTAAATATACGATTTATATACAATTGTTTTGTTATATGGCTACGAGGATGGGTTTGCAACTGTTTATCATTTAATCACCGTCTCGACATGCGTGATCACAAAAATATCCCATTCTATCTTGTCTTTTCACTGTTCAGTATCTCCTTTTGAGGTAGAATAGAATATCAACTCCAATGCGTTATGCTCAAAATCCAGTTTGCATTTGTTTTAAACGTGATGGAAAAAATACATATTGACTGTGAAATAAAAAATCAAATCAAATTTTAAATGTTATATTCCATCCTTGTCTAGTGTTAGGACAATTTTCAACTCGTTTACTCTTGAGGAAGTTATCTTGCACTCAATAAGTTGTTTCGTTATTACTAACTTGGTTTTACTTTATATACCACTTGCAAATAACGGAGGCGCACGTAGGCCATTAACTTAACAACATACACCCTTCTTAGCCTATGCGATGGTGAGTCTAGATATTAACTTGACCCCATTTGGCTGCCATATGAACACGAACGTTACTGTGACGTCAACGTTCGTCGTCTCACATTTCGGCCGTTAGAATGGAAAGTAATGATTTGCACAGCAGAGATATCCAAATACCACCAAACTCATGCTCTTGCCTTGATAAAAATAAAAAGGTTGAAATTGAAGATATGACAACGATCTTGTCTTATTCATTCCTATGCTGTCCCCATGCACAGGTCCTATGCTGCACAGGTCATACCTATTCTCAGTTGCATTAAAAGTAAACTTCCCAGAAACGCGTTAGTTTGTCCTTCACTAATACACTTTAAGATCCCCAAACACCTTTAATCTTAGTTTTGGGAGACAGAATGTTGGTTCTTTAATGCATGGTATTCGAAATTCACAGCGTTACATGTTCTTATACACGTATGCACATCCAGGGATTCTAACGTAAATGACAGGATGTTTGCTGTTTAAGAATACATCACGCGTAATTGGATATACATGATATGCAATCATATGTATATATTCTTTTAACACTGCTATTTTTGATACATGCTCGTGTTTAATTCAGGACACTGTTACGTCAAAGTTTGTTTACCTGAGTGCTTCGTGTGCAAAAAAAAAAAAAAAAAAAAANCTATTGTGCAAATATCATTGCAGGTCATAATATCATCATCAATGCTCTTCGTCCCGTGTGGGACATAAGGCCACAGGTCATAATATGCACGCACTCGTATGGACGCAAGTGCACAGTCACACACAGATGCGCGTTCATGGGTGAGCGGCATATCTCGAAAAGGGGGTTTATTTAATTGATTTAGTGCCCCTTTCATACACAGACCTAACTTGTACATTATTTGTAAGACCAAAGACTGCTGGACAAAATTACCATGATGTGGAAATGGCAAATGTTTACTTGGATGTATGTAACCATAGACACGCACAGAATCCAAGATGGCAGTCGTGGTTTCTGCAATTTTTTTCTTTAGATAGAAAAAAATTGATCATCGTATCTAGTTCGACCTTTTTCATATTTGGGGAGGGAATTAAGTGTGAGCGACAAAATTCAATATTAATTGTTCCTAAAAATCGAGGCAGTAAGATTGAAACAGTTTCACTTCATTAACAGGTGGTCTGACGAATATATACCATGCCTTGGTACATTGTTATATTCAACTTGGTGACATCTCTGGCAATCGCCTAGTCTGGATAATGACTGATGGTTACTATACTTATGGGGATGACCCAATACCCTTGGCCACGCTTTTGAAGAAGAAAGGTACGTACTACCGCTACTCCAAAGACAGAGTGTCTATTGCCTAAAACGAATGCTGTCGGTTTACATTAACCCATTAAAAGATTCGAGGAAGCCGGGTCGCCAGTAATTAATTAACTTTTAATTAATTTTATTCTGCACGTTTCCCTTCTGTATATACTATAAACACTTCTTTTTTTTCCCCAACTTCAGGAATTATCATATGTATCGTTGCTATTGGTGACAATGTTGACTGGAGTGTAATCAACGCCATGGCCTCGTGGGTGTACATTCCGAGCATCGGTGGCACTGTGCAATGCGTTATGAGGTACCAAACCTGTACGGCCTACTTACTTGCCTCGTATCCTTTGCTGATACGGGTACCATAGCCGGGACTTCCCATCGCCCAGTCTGTTACCTAAATCTGTAGACAGGAGTAAAGTTGCAAATCTGGTAGTTTATTTCTGATCATTCTCTATGGCAACTGACGTATCGCATGCTGTGGATATATTTCGACTTACTTCTCCGTTGAACTCTTGAATTCACAGACAAATCTAGGTATTCCAATGGTGATGATTCATTTATAAACCTTTTTTTTGCGTAGGATATTTCGATAGGCCGTTTCTTTAAGTTGGTTTCAAGACCATAAGTGGCATATCTAGATATTTGCAAACTTATGTTTTTTTATATATATTTTAATGTAATTTGGTGTACCCCGGTACACATTTTACAATTTAAATATGCAATTTATATACAATTGTTTTGTTATATGGCTACGAGGATGGGTTGCAACTGTTTATCCTTTAATCACCGTCTCGACATGCGTGATCACAAGAATACCCCATTCTATCATGTCTTTTCACCGTTCAGTATCTCCTTTTAAGGTAATTTCTATGAGTCTTTTATTTTTTCAATTAAAAATCTAGAATATCAACTCCAATGCGTCATGCTCAAAATCCAGTTTGCATTTGTTTTAAACGTGATGGAAAAAAACATTTTGACTGTTAAATAATAAATCGAATCAAATTTTAAATACTTTTGATATTTTCCATCCTTGTCTAGTGTTCAAACAATTTTCAACCCGTTTACTCTTGAGGAAGTTATCTAGCACTCAATACGTTGTTTCGTTATTACTAACTTGATTTTACTTTATACACCACTTGTAAATAACGGAGGCGCACGTAAGCCAATAACTTAGCAACATACACCCTTCTTAGCCTATGCGATGGTGAGTTGAGATATTAACGTGACCCCATTTGGCTGCCATTTGAACACGAACGTTACTGTGACGTCAACGTTCGTCGTCTCACATTTCGGCCGTTAGAATGGAAAGTAATGATTTGCACAGCAGAGATATCCAAATACCACCAAACTCATGTTCTTGCCTTGATAAAAATAAAGAGGTCGAAATTGAAGATATGACAACGACCTTGTCTCATTCATTCCTATGCTGTCCCCTACACAGGGCATACCTATTCTCAATTGCATTAAAAGTAAACTTCCCAGAATCGCGTTAGTTTGTCCTTCACTAATACACTTTAAGACCCCAAAACACCTTTAATCTTAGTTTTGGGAGACAGAATGTTGGTTCTTTAATGCATGGTATTCGAAATTCACAGCGTTACATGTTCTTATACACGTATTCACATCCAGGGCTTCTAACGTAAATAACAGGGTGTTTGCTGTTTAAGAATACGACATCACGAGTAATTGGGTATACATGACATGCAATCATATGTATATATTCTTTTAACACTTGCTATTTTTGATACATGCTCGTGTTTAATTCGGGACACTGTTACGTCAAAGTTTGTTTACCTGAGTGCTTCGTGTGCAAAAAAAAGAGCTAATATGAGATAGCTGAAAACCAGGTGTTAAGTTTTCCCACTTCAAACTTCACGGTATTAAGAAATTTGAGTAATAAAAATGATATTTTCAAAAGATGAAGGAAAGGAAGAAAAACGAAGTTCATATCTGTTACCGATAATAATTTCATGAAAAAAAAACGTCGATTGATATTCGCAAGCAATTCCTTCAATATCCCTTGTGCAAAGAGCACTATTGCCCATATAAGTGCTACTTACGCCTTAAAATGTATTCTAATGGAATCACTAGCGCACCAAGCGTTCGTTTCACTCGATGGTAATCAACCCGATTATGCAATCTTATTATCTTATTGTAAAAAATGTGATTGAATAATTCATTTCAACTTGAAGAAAGTATTCGATTACAATTCAAAACCACATATTTTCAACCAATCTATGGTGCATGGGTGTCAATAACAGGCCTTCCCAATTAATAGACACGGCATCGAATGACCCCGAATTCACCGGTAGATCGGACCACACTACCCGTTTTCAAGGTGTGCGCCAGTACGCATTTCACAATATCATACCACGGAACAAAATTTGAGATGAGATGCACTACTGTCCAACCCCGCTTAGAATCATCACTATTACATCGCGTACCAGGCAAGAGCGGTGTCGCGTCTGAGACTTCGAAGCGCGCACTGATACACACCTTGAATACGGATATTTTGGTCCGATCTACCGGTGAGTTCAGGATCATTCGATGTCTGGTAGTTGAGTAGGCCTGAATAAGAGTGATGTTTACTCAGCAAAATATTCGTGTCTTAAAGGAATAATTAATAATTGTCCGGTATTTTGTTGCTACCATGTCATTTTAGAAGTAATAGTGGGCTATGGAATCACGTGTTGTGCAAGAACAACAACTCACGTTTTAAATATCACCGAAAATAAGATTAAGCGATTTGTCTATACAGGCAAATAAATCATCAACATAAATGCACCCTGTGTATCGAGTAAGTGCAGGTAATTGTTTTGTATACATAATTGTTTGGACATTAGTCTCACAATGAACGATCCGAGGTGTCTCTTTTTTGTATCATATGTGGATCCATCTGATTCGACATCTCATACTCTTTTCACACATGAGCACAGATATACGATGGGAATTGAATCATTTTTAAAACTGCATTTTATTATGTTGAGTTCATGGTAGAATAAATAAAAATATATGTATATCATGATAAAATATCATTACCATAAATGAGCAAAAATGTTAATTAGTGTGGTAGTTGGATCATAAAGGAAAATTACCAAGCGATGATTCAAATGAAATATCTCACTGGTGTGAGAAGCATACTGTTGTTTAATTTTTTGGCTATTATTCCAACAATTCCTCGCCCTCACCTAGCTGTTTAAGCATGTTAAGCACGCACGCACACACACACACACACACACACACACACACATACACACACGAGAGAGAGAGAGAGAGATAGAGAGAGAGAGAGAGATGGTGGAGGGAAAAAGCTGGGTCGATGCCACAGATATAATTCTTAAAGTTTTATTTACTCGGCCTAAATCATATCTGTTGACAAATTCCGAATTTGCTTCCAGAATAAACAATGCAACTTAATTAAAAAGCATAGCTTTTCATATAGTCATATGCTGGAAGTAATTTCATATCATCCAAAGCGTCAGACGGGTTTCCATTATTGTTTTTAATTCGACGTCCTGTATCAAGGTAGCACTGAAATTAACTGGGTGATGCAAATAAAATAGCTCACTGGTGCGAGAGGCCTTCTTTGGTTGAATGTTTTGGTTGTTTTGGCTGTTATTCCATCACTGTGTCGCACACAAACACACACACACACACGACCAAGAGAGAGAGAGAGAGGGAGAAAGGGAAGGAAAAAACTGATAGCTAGATCGCTGCCACGGAAAGAATAATATCATAGATTTGATTTAACTGAGCAATACAAATATAATATCGCAATGTTGTTATAGACCTTCACGAACTCTGGTTGAATGTTTTTGGCTGTCTGTCACTATCTCGCCCCCATCCAGCAGTTTAAGTAGCGCACACACACCACAAACACATGAGAGAGAGAGATAGAGAGAGTGAGAGAGAGAGAGAGATACTGAATTTCATCAGATTCCTTTTTCGTTATAATTAGGTCAATTCGCCGGCTAACATTGCAATCAATATTGACATTCATAAAGTTGGCCTGAGTTTCCTTTACCACTTTACCTCAATACTAATATTTGTCAAGCTACAGGTGTTTTAATGGAAGTCCCGATATGTAAGTTTTCTAGGTCAAATATAAAAGCACACGTTTCATGCTGAACGAAAGAAGCCGATGAGATCCGAAAACGGCGAGTGACAGTAAACGGGGCATCGATATTCAAATAAGCACCATCGTGATTGGATGGTTTGTCGCGTGCCCCGTTTTTCACGAGAGACACTGATGTACCGGTGCTTGCAGTATGTTAATAACCAGTAGGCTAGGAGACGTGTCATTCCCTCACCTGACTTCAACGGGGAAAACGAGGTAAGTTTTATTTTAACTGAGAAATGTTTTGATCGGTGAAATTCTGCAACTTGATGGTGATTCCCTGCACACACCGATTGTAGGTAACTAAACAGTAAAATATTTCTCGGTGTTTCTGGTGGAGGGTAGTGCTTACTTTTAATAATAATAATAATAATAATAATAATAATAATAATAGTAATAATAATAATAATAATAGTTTATTAGGCAACCTTAAGGTTGACAATAAACTTTAAATTGTAAAACAATTAATTTTTTATAAAATACTACAAATTAAAAAGGCAATGATTAATAAAGGAATTTTAAAACGTTAGAAGGTCTTCACTCTTGGTTGTAAAATTGGTGCTGTTTCGTAAAGGACAGGTATTTCTTTCAAGCAATAAATGACCCAACTTTTCACACTTTTGTAATTTTGTATAAAACCTCTGATACACCAAATGTCTGCTTTTGTCTAGCGTGTCGATGTTACAAACTTTTAAGGCATTTATCATAACTGATACCAGGGCAAATAATCCTCAAGGTTATCTTTTGAAATGACTCCAGACATTCAGATTGCTCATCAATCATCATTAATAAATCTTGTATGTCCAATGTTTTCCTCTTTAGCTGTCTGAGATAAAGAGCTTTAAACATGTCTTAGCATGGTTTGGTTTGGATGTTTTCAGCCCACTTAAGGTCTGGGGATAAAATAACACCAAGCATCTTAAACTTTAAACTTTTCTACACATTCGCCATCTATTTCCAATTTTAGTATTGTAAGATAACAGTTCTTAGTAAAATTTATGGCCATCGGCTTGGTCTTCCTTACATTAAGCTTAATCTTGTCTTGTTGACCCAGTCAGCCAATTGACCTATTGCTTATGGTAGGTGCGTTCATTCGCCGAATTTGCAGATTTCGTAAATGAAGGTATCATTAACTTAATGAAAAACAAGTTTTCAGGTCATTGATCATTGCAAGGAAAAGAATGGGACCTACTTTAGTGCCCTGAGGGACTCCTCCCACTAGCTGAACACAATCAGATTTAAATCTACTGCATTTTTCTGGGATTCACTTTGTAACAAAAGCCTCCAAATTTTTATTTAGAACTGGTGTAAGTGATATAGGTTTAAGATTTAATTCTATTAGCCTTGGCTGATTCACTTGACGTTAACTATGAAGATTTCCAAATTTTTGGAACGTTCCTCTCAAACAATATTATGTGTTGTTCATGTTGGGCCAGGAACCCAATGAGTCTAAATATGACCAGAGTAATTAATACAGGAGATGATTACCTTGGTTCAAATTTTCATCTACCGCCTTTTGAAATTTAAAGGGAAAAATGGCATTTTCCATTTATTGAAACTATTTCGTAGACAATCAAATTCAATTTAATTTCAAGCGATTTCCTCTTACATTTATCGCAACAGACTATCAAACAAATTGATATGAAATATATTGACATTGTATAGGCGTGCTAATGGACGCTTGTCGATCCTGCAGGTATGTTCTCTGTGAGAAATGGATTATATGCATTACTGCGAAACGAAAACAGCGGGTATTTACAGAACACGCAAATGCCTTGCAAAATTGGTTTTAACAATATATGGTCGTGAATTTATGGGTTCTCATATGCGCCACGATTATCACAAGATATACTGTGCCACTGTGCATTCTAATGGTCTTAAAATGACAGATGTCTGTATGAAACATATACATGTGACCAAGATGAAGAAATAGATTTCCTTACTTTTTGTTCCTTAACAGACCTTGGTCCAAAAGCACCAAAACAAGCTTTATTTACTATAAACAACGCTTGTTGTTGTGGTCACAGGCAGACAATTACTTTTGGCCATTTTTTTCAATCGGGAGAGTTGAAAATCTTGCAATTAGATACTCGATGTCACTTTGCTGCCTGTTTGCGAAATGTTCTTAAAATTGACATTCTGACAAAATTATGAGAGAGTATAGTCCCAGAAGGGGTGCTTTGTAAAGCTTCAAATTTCTTCATACGAGGTACATAATAACATTTGGTTATTCATAGCAAGAAGAAAAAAAAACATTTATCGTTTTGTCAGCAAAGTTAAAATATTCTTTTAAGAGGCCATATTTGTTAAATATCTAGTGAAATGTGTCTCAGCCAGGAGCAGACCAAAGTTTTCTTCTGGGTCTTCCGGAAAACAGTCAGAATTTTTTATATTTACATTGACGGGCATTTAATATTTTCTGTTGCAATAAGTCCAAAAACCTAGGATGGATCAACAAAGATAATTTGGAAGACTGTTAGAAATTATATCTGGATCCGCACCTAACACAGGTTCTGGTACAGTGTAGTGCTTTCTCTCTAATGTATTTAGTTTAAGCTTAGTTAGGAATCCAATTAACCTTTATAGGCCAAAGACTGATTAATAAATGAGACGATTGCCTGAGATCACACTTCTAACAACCGCCTTTTTTTTAATTTTAAGAGAGTAAAAGTGAATGTGTGAGAAAAGACATTCACCGTTTTATGAAATTATTTCATAGAGTCAATCAAATTTAGAACAAATTTTATTTCAAGTGATTGCATCATGCATTTATCGCTATAGACTATCAAACAAATTGATATGAAAGTCGTTGCCATTCTGCGAGCGTGCTAATGGACGCTCGTCGATCCTGCAGGTATGTTCTTTGAGAATGGATAATAAGCATTTCTGCCAATGCCCCTATTTCACACAGACCACGAATCCCACGAATGGCCATGAATTGACAAATTTTACGATTCGTGGTTGAATCGTAATCAGATCGTGAAGTTCTTTTAAGTTGAAGTGATGTTCTGTTAAAACAGATTCGTATATATATTCGTAGTCAGTTGTTGCACTTCTTGACCAACAGGAATTGGTGGCCAAAACTTTGATGCCCCTATTTCACACAGACCACGAATCCCACGAATCGCCAGGAATTGAAAATGTCTGGATTCGTGGTTGAATCGTAATCAGTTCTTAACAGATTCGAATATAATCGTAGTAAATTCTTGCAATTCTTGATCAATCGGGCATTCGTGGCAAACATTTTGAGCCGTTCACGAACTCCGGATTCCAAAAAATCGTAGTTAATTTCTGGACAATATTCGTGCGATTCCAGCCGAATCCCACGAATATTCGTACCACTATCGCACCTGTATCGTAACTGAATCTTAGTGCGTGTCGAGGTAGACCAGAAAATTGGCAAAATATCACGACTCCAGCCGAATCCCACGAATATTCGTAACACTATCGCACCTGTATCGTAACTGAATCGTGAGCGTGTCGAATTAGACCAGAAAATTGGCAAAATCTCACGAATCCTCATGAATCCTGAAATTTGTCAATTCCTGGCGATTCGTGGGATTCGTGGTCTGTGTGAAATAGGGGCTAAACGAAAAACAGCTGTTATTTAGATAATCTGAAACGACTTGCAGAGTTGGTATTTGCCAATAATCGGGTATTGTAATATCTTAGAAGATGAACTCTGTCATGGGATCGTAGGGCTTCTCGATCAGAACCTTTTGTTTGCTGGAAATGTTCACGTGAAGAACACTTTATACATAGAATAGTATGATTGTGACGCCTTCGAGAAAGTTGTTTTCGGAAAAACAAGCCCACTTTAGTTTAAATAATTGTCATTCATGTACGATGATGTTGAAAATTTCCCACTATCCCACTATCTTCTGAATGTCTTTTTTTATTCCAGCATAGAAGTGCTATAAAAATACTGTATCTAACATCAAGCAAGCAACGATGGGATTGTTGTTCTGCCCGAGCCTTGCTCTCACCATGATGACGTGCGTCTTTCTCATTCAAAAGCAGCTGAGTCAAACTTGTAAGTGTATAGAGACCAATTCGACATCCAAGTTCATGTACAATAGCATGTTTGAAAGTCTGAGATACCGTATCAATTTTCGTCTCAGCAGTTTGCTTGCTTTTTGCTTGTTTGCAATAATTATATGCCTGGTTTTTATATATCTTTTTAATTCTAAGTCATTCCCATCTCCCCACGGAGAAAGCAATCCGCGCTGCGGTATATGTGCCTCTCGTAGTTAGGATTTACAATAACCAACACTACCATATGACCAGGTCTTTTCCTTACTTCAATCTCAATATGCTGAGTAATAAACAAGGAGGCAGCAGGTACTATTATAATGCTCTTTAGCATGACCAGGCCATGAGGATCAAACTCATGACTTCCTGCACCACAACGGAGACCCCTCTGTAGATGGACTTTTAAAACATTCAGACTTGGCGTAAAAGCCTTAGCAGTGTGAAAAACGATACGATTTGCATGATTTACCTGTTCAATTGTTTGAATTGCAAAAGTTCCCATCATGTAAGTGAAGGATGATAGAGCATACCTAACATTTAAATTGCCTTGCAACATCTATCTTCAGGCGAATGCGAGCCTGACAGTTGCTATAATAATGGGACTTGCGAAGAAAAAGCTGATGATCCGTCTGGCTTCCAGTGCAGTTGTCCCAGTGACTTTTTCGGAGAAAGATGCGAATTGAGTAAGCACTGCCCTTGTAACACTTACAACCATCCTTTGTGAATAACAGGAAATAGTTATGCTCAACAGAATGTTAGGAAGCATTTTACTATTGCAACAATTGATATCAGCACATATGCTTCATTTAATACAATTTATCCATTAACAGTGTTGTCTTGCCAGGAGTTTTTGCTTAATTTATTTATTAATTAATTTATTATTTTTAGATTTTTTTGTGAATTGAACAGTATGTCATCATTGTTTGATTCGTCGATCGTGCGCGGTGGTCCATTATTAACGCAGAATTGACAGCGTCCAGTTTCAATGCTTTTAATTCTGAAGAGAAAAAAATCTGAGCATAAGTACGCAATAAAGTGTCTGGTGCAAATTATGTACAAAATTAATTTCACAGATTTCAGTGGGATTTACCTTACCCTGTCTTAGTTAATGCTCAGATTATGAAAATTGAATCATTTCAAGTGAAAGAGCATGCGTACTATTTTATTAGCCTTGCAATCTCTCATTTCAGGTGAGTGTCAGTTAAATAACTGCTGGAATGGTGCAACGTGTGTATTGAATACTACAAATTCGGTTTCGTCGTGCATTTGTCCCAAGGGTTATCACGGAACATGGTGTAAAAAAGGTAAGTAGTACCCTTCTAATATGCATACATTCTGTATCTCAGAATTGACTGATAACAGCTGACAGCTGTAAGATGTAAAGCGTGCAACAAAAATACAAATACAAATACAAAATTCAAAGCAAATTGACCAATACAAATATTGATACCAGAGGATATATGTAAGAGTAACTTCTATAGACTGGTATCAAGGCATATGACTATACATTTCTGCTGATTAACTATAATATAACTAGCATATTCAAGTGATTAGGTGGAACTCATAAAAAACAGATCCTATGGCTCAAGCTCTCTATTTATACACTATAACACAAATAACTTATTCCACTGTTTAGGTGGAACTTATGTGAAAAAGTCATATGATATCGCTTGTTAAGTTGGTTCAAAATGTCCAAATATTCTGTTGCGAGCCAGTGGCTGCATGCATGCGTTTTTTTTTTTTTTTCAGCAAAATGTGGGGAAAATGCCACATGCTATGACATAAACACTTTTACGAAATTGCCTGACAACAATGAGAACTGCGATACAGCATCTAACCAATCTTGTATTTGCAACGCTGGTTACCGTGGGGACGGATTTCACTGCAAGAGTAAGTCTTATAGAACAATTGGATTATTGAATATTTTTGAACGTTTTTTTTTAAATTAATTTGTTTCGTTTTAACTCCCTATTGCAAGGCAGACCAAAGGATTGGCTACTTACTGAAACTGACCAACGGTATTATTCTGTAAAGGAAAATAATTAATTATACGTTTGGTAATGATCATGTTCTTTTTTGTTTTTGAAACGAATCTCCATCCTTACCTCACTCATTGATAGTTAGGCAGCAACCGGAAATCAACGCTAAAGACCGTACCAAGGGTCACGTGAATCGATGGTTGAAAAAAAATATAAATATAAATTATAAATTGAGCAATTTGACGTCAGATAATGCCTATATCAAAAGAATCTAATAAAAAAATTGGGTAAAAGACAATATACATTACTTTAAGATATGTACATAACATATCCAAGGTTTACAAATAAAGGTTTACAAACAAATAAATATTTTGATGCATCCAAGTTCATGTACAATAGCATGTTTGAAAGTCTGAGATACGGTATCATTTTTCGTCTCAGCATTTTGCTTGCTTTTTAATTGCATTGCTTGTTTGCAATAATTATATGCCTGGTTTTTATATATCTTTTTAATTCTAAGTCATTCCCATCTCCCCACGGAGAAAGCAATCCAACCCCTGTATGTGCCTTTCTTAGTTAGCATTTACAATAACCAACACTACCATATGACCAGGTCTTTTCCTTACTTCAATCTCAATATGCTGAGTAATAAACAAGGAGGCAGCAGGTACTATTATAATGCTCTTTAGCATGACCAGTGCATGAGGAGCAAACTCATGACTTCCTGCACCACAACGGAGACCTCTCTGTAGATGGACTTTTAAAACATTCAGACTTGGCGTACAAGCCTTAGCAGTGTAAAAAACGATACGATTTGCATGATCTACCTGTTCAATTGTTTGAATTGCAAAAGTTCCCATCATGTAAGTGAAGGATGATAGAGCATACCTAACATTTAAATTGCCTTGCAACATCTATCTTCAGACGAATGCGAGCCTGACAGTTTCTATAATAATGGGACATGCGAAGAAAAAGTTGATGATCCGTCTGGCTTCCAGTGCAGTTGTCCCAGTGACTTTTTCGGAGAAAGATGCGAATTGAGTAAGCGCTGCCCTTGTAACACTTACAACCATCCTTTGTGAATAACAGGAAATAGTTCAACAAAATGTTAGGAAGCATTTTACTATTGCAACAATTGATATCATAGCATATGCTTCATTTAATACAATTTATCCATTAACAATGTGTCTTCCCAAGAGTTTTTGCTTTATTTATTTATTAATTAATTTATTATTTTTAGATTTTTTGTGAATTGAACAGTATGTCATCATTGTTTGATTCGTCGATCGCGCAGGGTGGTCCATTATTAACGCAGAATTGACAGCGTCCAGTTTCAGTGCTTTTAATTCTGAAGAGATGAAAAGGCTGAGCATACGTACGCAATTAAGTGTGTGGTGCAAATTATGTGCAGAATGAATTTCACAGATTTCAGTGGGATTTACCTTATCCTGTCTTAATTAATGCTCAAATTATGAGAATTGAATCATTTCAACTGAAAGAGCATGCGTACCATTTTATAAGTCTTGCAATATCTCATTTCAGGTAAGTGCTGGCTTTATATATGCAGGAATGGTGGAACCTGTGTAGTTAATACTACGGATTTGCAATTGTCGTGCATTTGTCTCGAGGGTTATTTCGGAAGATCGTGTAAAATAGGTAAGCCTTACCCTTCTAATATGCATACATTCTGTATCTCAGTATTGACTAATAACAGCTGACAGCTGTAAGTTGTAAAACATGCAAAAAAATACAAATACAAATACAAAATACAAAGCAAATTGACCAATACAAATATTGATACCAATGGATATGTAAGAGTAACTTCTATACACTGATATCAAGTCGTATGGGTCTAGATCCCTGCTGATTATCTATAATATAACAAGCAAATCAAAGTGATTAGGTGGAACTCATAAAAACAGATCCCATGGCTCTAGATCTCTGTTTATACACTATAACACAAATAACTTATTCCAGTGTTTAGGTGAAAAAGTCATATGATATCGCCTGTTATAAGTTGGTTCAAAATTTTGAAGTGTTCTGTTGCGAGCCAGTGACAGCATGCGTTTTATTTTTCAGCAAAATGTGGGGAAAACGCCACATGCTATGACACATTCCGATTTAAGCCATTGCCTGAGAACAATGAGAACTGCGATATAGAATTTAACCAACGTTGTCTTTGAAACGATGGTTACCGTTGGGACGGATTGCACTGCACGAGTAAGTCTGATAGAACAACTGGATTATTGAACATTCTTGAACGTTTTTCTTTTTTTTTATTAATTTTTTTTCGTCTTAACTCCCTATTGCAAGGCAGGCCAAACGTTTGGCTACTTACTGAAACTGACAAACAGCATTATTCTGTAAAGAAAAATAATCAATTACATGTTTGGTAATGATGTTTTTGACGCGAGTCTTGATCCTTACTACACTCACTGATAGCTAGGCAGCAACCGGAAATCAACGCTAAAGACCGTACCAAGGGTCATATAAATCGGTGGTTGAAAAAATAAATAATATAAATATAAATAATAAATTGAGCAATTTGACGTCAGATAATGCCTATATCAATGGAATCTAATAAAAAAATGGGTAAATGACAATGTACATTACATTAAGATATGTACATAACATATGCAAGGTTTATATAAGTCTGTTCATGTATGCTTATTATTATGCGTTATTCAACAATATGTGAAAGTATTTAAGTTGTCGAAAGTTCCGAGGAGTTCTAAAAGGTCATTATTTCTAACATAATTATGATCAATTTCATTTTATCATTTCTATTAAAATCATTTTATTAAAATATTAACACTGACAAAAAAAATTGTTTGTACATGAATGAATTCACCAAAAAGTGCTCTAATATGAAGGGGTCAAGGTGTTCATAGTATATATTTCTTTTCTTTCAGAATCGACGAAATAAACACCCAGAAAAGGAAATTTAAAAAAATGCAAAAGGGGATACACAGTGATTTCCAAATATATAACACATTTTTATTTGGACATTCACTGCAAATTATATTTGAATTAAGTATACCAACTGAAAATAAAATACTCTGGGCATTGTATTTCGTTAGTCAATTAATTATCTCCATGACAGCCTCCTTGGCCAATGTCACAATCTAAAAACTCAGTCAGGTTCCATCATATCCAAATTGTGGTACAAGTGCAGTTGTGAGCAAACCCTTTGCACAACGACCTTAAAACACCTTTCGTGATTTTTGGGCTCATGGCCATTGACCCTTTCCGGCAATGGCAAAGAATCATTTTTTAAAATCTATCAATGCAGATGGTGATCCTGATCGGAATGAAAATTCAAGGAGGCCCATTCTTGCCCTTTCCTGAAAAGTCCAAAAATCCGTTTCTTATTACAAAACTGTGTAAAGTATACAGCCACTAGTTCAAAACACCTGACTGTGTTGGTATACTGTAGCTGTTTTGCTTTACCATGTCAATGTTTGGAACAAAGTGGACACCCCACCCGCTGAAAACTGGGTTGCTACAAGCCTGGGAAACTCTTGGGAATTTCATTAAAACGAAAAGCTTCTTCGTTAATTTAATCTTACGAACTTTATATCTGCGGCATAATAGAACACACTTATCTCCGATCCTTAACTCTCGTAATTGTTGTCCCAATTGTGTTGGAAACTTATATAATGCTCGGTCCGGAAAACAGCGTATTTCTTCTTGTCAATACCAAACGGAAAGCAAAATTAAAACAAAAAATTGTTTTAACAATTTAAAAATAAGATAAAGACAGTTAGCTTTTAATTAAAGGTTAATTTAGTTTCGAAGCCAGTACCTTGTGATCAATGTCAGCGTCTCGAATCTCCTGAAGAATTTTCAAAACAGGTGGCATATATTTCACCGGAAGTTTCTGTTTCGATTCTAAAATATCCATTTTCCTCACTGGAAACTAGACAAAGACGGATCGCCGAACAGAAATTTATAAGAACACTAAACACCTTGAATAATGGACTCAATAGGGATAATGTTTTTTTTTTTTTTTTTAATGAGTATTGATTTTTTTCTTTGTTACGTAATTTTGACGTTGTTTAGGTATAGCACGCTTTTGGGCCATCGCATGTCTTCAACACATCACTGACGTCACGTATCCTAGGAGTTTGTTTTTCTACTTTTTGTTCATAATCCCCGAAGAAGGCCCAGGGGCCGAAAGCTTGGACTTTATTTAACAACTATTATGTGGATCTTTCTAGATGCATCAAAATATTTATACTTCTTAAATTTTGTGTTAACGTTTACAAGTTGCCCCTTCCATTACCTTCGTGTAAAGACCGTCATTACCCGTATTTTTCTTCCACGAACGTCTTAAATGTCTTTCAATTGAACCAGTTTACATTGCACCAGGATTCGTGTATGTATCATATCACGCAATTCTAATTAGTCTGATTAGTAATTTGAATAAGTTATGGTAAATAATATGTCTGTAATACCTTTAAAAGTAAAGAATTCAACTGCAATTCAAATAGCATCCTTTCTTTACTTCCCGTGTATCTATAGAGCAGGTGTCAATAGAAGCAATGTTTACTTTAGCAACATGCCCAAGTTATAAAGAAATCCATAGTAATTGTCTTGTATTCACCGCTACAATGTCGTTATCAAGGTTAAAGTAAGCCTTGGAAGCACGTGTTTGCGCTAAAAAAGCAATGTGTGAAAATAACATTCAGAGTGAGGTAAGCCTATTGGTCCATAGACGGAAATGAAATATAATGAATGCAACCTGTGTGAGTAAGTGCAGGTTGCTTTTTTCCTTTTTAAGTATTTGTTTGTACGTCTGTCTCTCTGTCAAAAATTCGAGGTAGCTTCTCCTCTATCATCTGCACGTTCACCAAGTTCTTGTCGTCGCTGAAGATGAAGTTAGCCGCGCTGGTTCTGCTGGTTGTTGTTGGAATCGCCTTCAATGGTCTGGGCTCCGAGGCTCTCATACCTCACCAAGTCATTCAAGCTCTGATGGGCGGTGCTCCTCCTTACTGTAATGTGGTGTTTGCTTTGGACAGCAGCGACAGCATAAGCAGCTCTGAATGGTCATGCTTTAAGTCATCGACCAAGGTAGGATAAACTGGCTCCGCTATAATAAACAATTGAGCTTGTAGTTTGCTGGAGAATTTGAGAGCACATAATTCTGTATCTTTATATCTATAATCCAGTTACTAACATTAAATAAGAAAACAAATCTGATTTTAATAACCATGTTAGATAGATAGATAGATAGATAGATAGATAGATAGATAGATAGAAAGTACAAAAACAACCATTGCATGCATATACGTGTTTTTTTAATTTTGTTTCACACATTTGTGCAACACAAACCAAAACATTTGATTTACCTTCAAATAAATCTTGCTTCAGAATATCCTTGCAATTATCAACAACACCCCTACTCCGAATAGCATAGCCCCTGGAAAACAGGATCGCTCTGGTACGCTTCTCTACCAGGGCAAGGCTCATCTTCCCTCTGGGTTACTATGATAACTACCCTGCCAATGATGCGGCTATTGATGATGTGCCGAAAGAAGGTAGGCCCCACTATTGTGCAAATATCATTGCAGGTCATAATATCATCATCAATGCTCTTCGTCCCGTGTGGGACATAAGGCCACAGGTCATAATATGCACGCACTCGTATGGACGCAAGTGCACAGTCACACACAGATGCGCGTTCATGGGTGAGCGGCATATCTCGAAAAGGGGGTTTATTTAATTGATTTAGTGCCCCTTTCATACACAGACCTAACTTATACATCATTTGTAAGACCAAAGGCTGCTGGACAAAATTGCCATGGTGTGGAAATGAGAAATGTTTACTTGGATGTATGTTACCATAGAAACGCACAGAATCCAAGATGGCAGTCGTGGTTTCTGCAATTTTTTGTTCTTAAGATAGAAAAAAATGATCATCGTATCTAGCTCGAACGTTAAGTATGACCTTTTTCATATTTTGGGGAGGGAATTAAGTGTGAGCTACAAAATCCATATTAATTGTTCCTAAAAATCGAGGCGGAAAGATTGAAACAGTTTCACTTCATTTACAGGTGGGTGACGAATATATACCTTGTACCATGCCTTGGTACATTGTTATATTCAACTTGGTGACATCTCTGGCAATCGCCTAGTCTGGATAATGACTGATGGGTACTATACTTATGGGGATGACCTAAGACCCTTGGCCACGCTTTTGAAGAAGAAAGGTACGTACTACCGCTACTCCAAAGACAGAGTGTCTATTGGCTAAAACGAATGCTGTCGGTTAACATTAACCCATTAAAAGATTCGGGGAAGCCGGGTGGCCATTAATTAATGTACTTTAATTGATTTTATTCTGCACGTTTTCCCTTCTGTATATACTATAAACACTTGTTTCTCCCAATTTCAGGAATTATCATATGTATCGTTGCTATTGGTGACAATGTTGACTGGAGTGTAATCAAGGCCATGGCCTCGTGGGTGTACATTCCGAACATCGGTCGCACTGTGCAACGCGTTATGAGGTACCAAACCTGTACGGCCTACTTTCTTGCCTCGTATCCTTTGCTGATACGGGTACCATAGCCGGGACTTTCCATCGCCAAGTCTGTTACTTAAATCTGTAGACAGGAGTAAAGTTGCAAATCTGGTAGTTTATTTCTGATCACTGTCTATGGCAACTGACGTATCGCATGCTGTGGATATATTTTGACTTACTTCTCCGTTGAACTCTTGGACTCTTGAATTCACAGACAAATCTAGGTATTCCAATGGTGATGATTCATTTATAAACCTTTTTTTGCGTAGGACATTTCGATAGGCCGTTTCTTTAAGGAGTTGGTTTTAAGACCATTAGTGGCATATCTAGATATTTGCAAACTTATGTTTTTTTAATATATATCTTAATGTAATGTACACATTTTACAATTTAAATATACAATTTATATATAATTGTTTTGTTATATGGCTACGAGGATGGATTGCAACTGTTTATCCTTTAATCTCGACATGCGTGATCACAAGAATACCCCATTCTATCATGTCTTTTCACCGTTCAGTATCTCCTTTTAAGGTAATTTCTAATTTTAAATGACTTTGATAATTTCCATCCTTGTCTAGTGTTTGGGCAATTTTCAACTCCTTTACTCTTGGGGAAGTTATCTTGCATTCAATAAGCTGTTTCGTTATTACTAAC